GTTATCTTTAATGTCCACATGAACCTCAATTTAATGTCTCATCCAAAGGACAGCACCTCCAACATTGCAACCCCCCCCCCACCCAGCACTGCATTGGAGTTTCATCCAGGATGTTTATGTGAAAATAAAATGTATATTGAAAATCTTATGTGTATATTTTCACTTTTGGTTAAAGCAGAGGGAGTGAAGTCCTTGGAAAATTAAGTGAAGCAGATGGCTTGAATCCTTTCTGTCCAACTCAAACTAAAAAAATGAAAGTATTCTCTCTGACATACTATATATTAAGGGCTGGGTACTCAATGGTGTTGCTACTAGGCATGAGTTCACAGCACAAAACTTCCTTACCATAAAGGATGAAACATAGACCCAACAAAAGATGTAAAGAAGAAATTAGAAAATTAAATAGCTAATCATTAAAAGATTGGGAAAGGTTGGAAAGGATGTTAAAGGATATAAAAGTGAAACAAATAGTTTCTCCCAAAAGAAGTGCTGGTAAAAAGCATGAACTACTTGGTCAGAGAGAGAAATAAGTGGGGAGATGTGCACATCAAGGTGGAAAATGGTCAGTGACCATTGTAAAAGTAACACAATGCTGAAGGATCTTAAAAGTCAATGTTTGGCCTTGAGTTGAGTAAATTGCATGACACAGTGTTACAAGATGCTATACAAATGCTAATTGCTGTTGAGGCTCATGAGAAAAATATAGCTATTGAGGGTTGTACTGGACTTGGTTTGAGCACTGTAAAAGTGCAGTGTTAGAAAGCTCGGATTGTGAATTAAACGAGAAGTTGAAGTGGAACCTCATAGAGAAGGGATCACGTTGATGGGACAGAATGGAGAACTTTGTAAAATGGCCTCCCATCCCCGGTAGCAGACACTTGGGATGAGGCAAAGCCTTTGATAAACTCTCACCAAATTGGAAGAGGTGGCCTTGAATATCTGTCTCACGGAGGAATGTTTAGAACTATGAGGAATGATGTGGGAAAAAAATAATCGGACAAGTGTTGCATCTGCTGCTGTTTCCTGGAAAAAGTGCCTTTGAAGAAGATCCAGGTGGGGATGATAGAAGAGGAAATGAGTGAATCACATTAAGACTCGTCTCTACCAAAAGGAAGGACAGGAGAGGGATAGATGTACCTGTTTTGGGGATCATGTTGTAGTTGACAGAAACGGCAGATGATGGATCTGGTTGGGGCAGAGGGATGGATTGTAAAATGATAGGGACTATCATTATTGTGACAAGCAGCCCTAAAAATAAATGGAATGTAAAATGGAGTGCAGATAATACCGGTAAAAGATGACTGAAACTGCATAATATATCATTATATTATCAAAGCTTATATTATCAAAGCTATATAATAATATAATATAATATGGTTATAAGCTAGGCCAATAGAAAAGTGCAGCCAAACTTTTTCCACTGAATGCTCTACAGATGTCCTCATTGGCTACAAAACACATTCCTCTGCTACAAACCTGTTTGCTCGTTGCTGGTACTGTAGGCGGAGCAGCTCTGATCGTATTTTTTAAAAATGCTCCACTATTTAAATTAACATTTTTAGTGTTTTGAACATAACTACATTTTCGGGAAGTGTATGCCTGAAGCTTTGATCTGGTTGTTTCACAAAATGCGTCTCTCAATAGCGCAATCAACCTATTTGCCACAAAGTTTGTCAAATACCCCACAATTTTTGGCAAATATTTCTGCATTTTACCATTGTAAAGTAATATGGCTCTGCAGATATGTTGATACTGTAATTCATGTTGCAATCATTTTATTTTCATGTTGGTGGCATACTGCAATCATGCCCAAGTATTGACTTTTTGTTTCTCGTTACAAAAAANTATTTCTCTCGCTTTTGGTTTAAGGACAGTCAACATAGGAGAAATTGATTTTTTAAAAAAAATAAAAACGTACCTTCAAAACGGATGTTTTTCTCTTAATTTGACTAAAATGTTCATTGTTCTTGCACCAAAATATTTTAACCTAAAAAGAAATTATGATTGTGTTTAGATGGTTAAGCTAGTTTTGCTGATTAAAATTACAGTCAGATACGCATGCAGTATTCAATCGGCCAGGACAGCTATCACACATAAAACTGATTTACATAAGAGGACAGGCTATGAATGAAGCAAAATCGGGATATCTCCGCATTTCCATCTATCGTTACACTGCAGTACAGCAATACACTGGACTGTCAGAATTATATGTCGAATTTAATCTCTCTAGATTTAGCAAAAGCCTGCTGAAGTCACAGTGAAGATAGGATTATATTGGACATAAAACAGTAGATGGGTTTCACTGGTATACTCCCTATTGCACCAAGCTGGGTGAGGACAATATGTGACTGAAACAATTTAGGATGAAATAACCCTCGATACAACCCGATATATTTCTCCCATCATTTCGCAATACTGATTATTTTGATTTTTGTTTTTCCGAGTATTGCTGCTTCAATAAACAACAGTGATGCAGCCAACGGGAAGCTTTTTTTTTCAAAAAACGGTTTGTATTTTGGAACAAAAAAATACAACTCCAAAATAAGTCCCCACAACATCGGAATTGCCATATTAACCCCCAGTAGTGTGTACGGGTGTAAAGAGAGCTTCTTAGTTCACAACGATAACGATGCAATTCATTCAGAATTTAAAAAATACGATTTTTAAAGCAATTTAATGTTTAAAAACGCCTGCGGTTGACCACAGCTATGAGTTTTAAATCTGTTCGTTAGAAAGAACATGCACGTTTGGTTTTAGGAAGAGAGTGGTGCCCTTTTAAATGCAATTTTATGTACAGCTCGATCTGTTGCCAAGAGGATTCCCCTGTTTACAAATCCCTGTCCAGTGATCTCGGATGCTAAATGTAAGTGCCATGTATGGGCTGAGAGTGAAGTACCAGTGCAGGTGCAACAGCAGATGGCTGCCTTGAGTTTCCACCCCGGGTTTGCACAAGAGAAGCTGAGAGCTGTTTTGGCATTTAAAGCTGGAGACGGGGTTTGTGTGTCCGGGGGGTGGGTGTGGGGGTGGGGGGTGTATTGGTAAGAAGAGGTGGAGGAGGAGGAAAGAGGGAGAAAGTTGTCCCTAGGAAGCTGTCTTTTTAATGAAATGCTACATATGCGGTGTCAAAACGTTTGATTCTAACCTCGGACACCCCTCGTCTCTGAGCGGCTGCAGCCCCAGTCATCGTCAGTGGGAAGTGTGTGGGAGAGAAACGCCGAAGTGAATCCTTCCTGACCTCGTGTGTTCTGTTGGGTTAACTTGAGATCACTCCGACAGAGTGGCTGCAGGAGACGGGCATTTAGCCAAGTGCACACAGAGCACAGGGAGAGGGGGAGGGGGGGATAGCCGAGGGAGATTCCTGAATCACGTAGCATTGCAAGCCTCTGAAGGCAATTACTGATGGACTCCGTTTCCTTTACATCGGGGTCTCCCTCCTCTTTCTCTCGCTTTGCATTGATTGCCTTCAGCCCCACTGGGCTGTCCCGGGCTGCAAATTGCTGCCAAGACATGGAAACTTATCCAGAGTCCCGGGGACGGTCAGGGCTGGGCCGCCGATCGGGTGACAGCTGCAGTGGGAGCTGAGCCGCTGTCCACGGTCCTGAATGTCTGCCACGCCGGGAAGTCTGTCTGTCTGTCTGTCTGTGTGTGTGTCTATCCCCCCCGGAGACCCGGCAGCTTTAATCACTCACATGTGAAGGCAGATGTGCGATGGCATTTAGCACAGACAGTATTTAGCTCCTCCCGGTGTTAAAAATGTATAGGCATAATGGCGAGAGTGATGAGCATCCTCTTCATGTGAAAGACACGTGGGGGAGTGTGTGTGTGTGGGGGGGGCAGAGGGTGTACTCGGTGACTGGGGCACCTTTGAGTGATCAGACCACTGAAGCATGTCACCATGTAGCCAGTGCCTCCCCGTCAGCAGGTCTGCAGTGTGGGCTTTTCCGGGCTTTGGGGAGCGGATTGAGTGACAGATCGGAGTTGTGAGGGGGGGGGGAGGGAGGGAGGGAGACGGCGGCGGGTGCACGTCGCGGTGCGGGGAGAGGGAGGGGAGAGGAAGGGAGATCCTGAGTGAGTGCCGGGGGAGGGTGGAGTCCAGCGGGAGTGGCTGCCATGTCTGGGAGAGGCAGCGCACGGCTGTGGCCGCCTGTGTGTGCCCGGGTCCTGGCAAACCCACTGCCGGACACAGCGAGCATGAGAGCGCCTCCCGACCCACTGGCCATCCCCCATCCCGTTGGACACGGAAGACCATGACAGTCTGTGGAAGAGCCGGAAAAAACTTTGGATCTGACGCGAGACAGCGGACCCCTCCCCCCGACCCCATCCCCATCCCCAGAGAGTCTGAGAAACTTTATCTACTTGTGCGCAGCTGTCACTCGGATCAGACGTCAGTCACCTCCAGAGAAAAGAGCACAAAAAGGATTTTTTTTTTTTGGTGATGATTCGTGAAACCTGATGCTGCACGTCCAGGTTTTTTTTTGAACAGCATCACCGGCTCCGGTTAAAGGGATCCGTTCCGACTGCTACAATGTGAACCGAACGACGAACCACAGAGGGAGTCATTTCAGCATTTTTCTACCCCGTCCGCCACAGACAGACACGAGCAGCGGAGGGTTCGGGTTTGCATCTCCTCCACATTCAGATAAACAACGCACAGGGAACCACGGCCGTCAGATAACCCACCGCGGGTCAACGGTCCCAGAGGTGGGCTTCAGTCAGACCCCCACCCACCCCCCACCACCCACACACACCCCACACACCCCACACACCCAGCGATCCGGACTAGAGATGGCTCTGATGGAGAGCGGTCGGGATGGCTTTGGACCGGGGGTCAGGATGGCGAACGTGTGGTGCTCAGCAGTGAGGGAGTCCGACTGCCTCTCACCCTCACGCCGGCGGGAGAACATTTAACCAGAGACGTTGCGATCAAGAAAATACAAACTCATCATGAAGGACTTGAAGCGTTGAAAGCCACCATTGATTTTGGGTGGGGAGGGAGGGGGGGAGGGGGGAGGGGAGGAGGAGGGGGAGAAAGGTGCGCTGGATCGAGTCCATCCTCTGCCCTCTGCCTTCTTTCTACTCACCATCCAGTGTTGAGCAGTGGCGATGGCAGCGGCTATTGCCAGTTCTCTGATCCGCCAGAAAAGACAGGCTCGAGAGCATCACTTAGATCGACCCGTCGCCACCAAACGTATCAACAGTCCCCACAAGAAGAAGGGGGGGGCCTGCAATGGAAACCTGGTGGACATCTTTTCCAAAGTCAGGATCTTTGGGATGAAAAAGAGGAGGTTAAGGAGACCAGGTTGGATTTTGTTTCGTGTGTGTGTGTGTGTGTTGTTTTTTTGGGGGGGGCTTTAAGCAAAGTGAAACCCGATGACAATTTAAGGAACGGCAATGCTTTTCGTGTTGCAGCCCCCGGAGTGCGAGGGATCCGGTGGGGGGTTTTACTGGGGGTTGAATGTAACGGACGGGGCAGTGTGTTTGGTGTTTTATTGGTGCGGTGCAAAGTGTTTTTGAAGGATGCCGGAGAATCATCAAGTGGGGCAGTGAGAGGAGGTGATGCATATATGTTCTGATGATGTCCATCACACACACACATTGGAGAGAGAGAGAGAGAGAGAGAGGGTGGGGGGGGGGGTCGGGGGGAGAAAAACCGTGTGAAATATCCGCAGTTTGCTTTTTTTTTACTAAAAGGTGCACATTTCTCCCATGTTCAGAGAGTTCGGGGGAGGTGTGGACCCGACTCTGGGAATCATCAGGTGGAACATGGGGTTTTAGGGAATATTTATATTCGGTGTTGGCGCTTAATTCCGACTAAATCGTCGCACTCCATACCCAGTCTCTGCCTTCTAAGGGTTTCGTGGCTGTTGAAGTATCGTGACACCAACTAAAGCAATGCCAGACAACTTTTTTTTTCGCATGTCCAGTGAATATATTTTCAGTGGTGTACAGCCCCTCGCTTTTGTCTGATTCCACTTGATCCCTGATCACCCCCCCCCCCCACACCCCCCCCACACACACACACCCCACACACACACCCCCCACACACACACACCCACACACACCCCCCCACACACACCCCCACACACACACCCACACCCACACACCACACACACACACCCCCCCACACCCCCCCCCACACACCCCCCCCCCACACACCCCCACCCACTCACACACCCCCCCCACACACACCCCCCCCCCCACACACACACCCCCCCACCCACACACACACCCCACCTCCCCACACACACACACACCCCACCCACACCCCCACACACACAGGGCCCAGCGATGCTCTGACCATCTATGTTAAAACGTTAGATATTGTTTTTGCCAAACATTTTCGTGCTGTTTATTATCTAGCCTAACTTCGATCTACCACACTAACAAGCCACTGCCACAATCTGTGTGTATTGTATGACATGTGATTGAGGAATAATACTAAAGGGCATCAAGGAAAGCTGGAAAATGGGATTAGAGTAGATGGCTCAAGTGGGAGACTGTGCACCAGTGGATAAGACAAATGGCCTTCTATTTTGTGCTATACAATTCTGTTTCTAAGTTGAACATGGTTTGAATACCGTCAGGACTTGGAAGGTGTTGCTCAGGTAATTGGACCTTTCCTTAGAATTGGTATTGCTCTTAGTGGTCAGCAAAAGGGTAAGACATTTAACAAATTATGCACTAAAAATGAGCATTAAATCCCATACGATGAACAGTGCTACAATTTTCCTTTACGCAACTAAAGGTCGCTATCAGTCAGAGCAAGATCTGAAAAGGCCCCGTAATAACAACGTCCTTTAAAATAATAATATTCAACTAAGAACAAAAACATCTTATTGAGTAAGTGCGCGCGAAAGTTGCTTCAGTGATGGTTTCACCGTAATATGAGAAAATCCAAGGGGAATGCAGGCTCCACAACAATAATATATTAGATGTCGCCTGTGCTGTATCTACGATACTGCTGTACCCATAGTCAGGGTTTATCTTTGGTAGTTTCATTTTAGACCTGGCATTTATTATTCACTGCATAATCGCATTCCATTGGTCACTTTTATTACATCATCATCATCCATCTACAAAACCAAGCTACATGTTGAAGGAGAATTACTTTTATTTCCAATAACCTTTGCTGCAACCATATTGGGAGGTAGTGAACATTGTAGGTGAAATCATCATAGTGAGACTTTGCACCTTCGACTATTTAGCATGATAGCTAGTTTTAAGGCATTGACATTTATTTTAAAGAATCTTCTTATATATGTACCTCAATTCCAATAAGTTAAACTGAAACAAATGGAAGTACGAATGCGCTCCACCCAATGTAACCGATGCTAAGTTGTTACGTAGCTGTCAATTCGAGAGACTTTGAGAGGATTGAAAATGTGACATTGTACAGCACCTTAAATTTATAAATGTTACAAATGAGTGGCTGTTTAATTCAATATTTCTCCATCATTTAATATAGCCGGGCTGTGTATGTAAAACTTATAGGGGTATAAGTTGAGATTACCTGAGTGAAAATGAACAGGTAGAGTTTTAGTAAATTCAGCTACTAACAATAATACTAATCCTTGTAGTTGATATATCATCTTTTACGTTAGGAGGATGTCTCAAGCCACTTCAGAGGATTTAATGTAAAGTACAGACACTGTAGATGAATGAGGCAGTCAATTTTGTGCATAGCAATGTCTCACAAACATGAAATGAATGACCATCAAGTGATGTAGATGAAATGTTGTGTAGTACAGCAGAAAAAAGATTCATTTGCATTAGATTTTTATATCTTTTTACATTAAATGTAATATTATTGGATACATTATTTTCAAAATCCAGTTATTTACTTAATTGAGTTATTAAAACTATAAAAATTCAGTCTTTCATTATCTCTTGCACCGATTTAAATCTAGTTGTGGTTATTACCCACCTCATCTTAGAGAAATGTGTAAGCCTGTGAGAGGTTTAAATGTGTTTTGTGCTATAAACAATGTCTTGATCTCAGTCAGCTTCCAATAAATGAGTATCACTGCTTGAATGTCAGTGACAATCCTTGAGACTGATCTCAGTTTCAAATGGTTTCAGTGCTAATACTTTTAACACAAAATTGTACTGGTAATCTATCTTTGCAATATTTCATATTTGTGATGATAAATAGAATGTAACTGATTGCTAATAGCATCAGAGGTCGTGCACAGAAGTAAATAGATTAAATGCAGCTCAGTGGAAGTGCCGTTGATTAAGAAAAAAAATGTTGATTTATCTCAGTAAATGTAAACATTAGATGCTTTTTTTAAAAAAACATGAAGAGCAAGATGGTTGTCAGATGATAAATAATAATAATCATTGCATTTGGCATAGTGCCTTTCACATCAGGAGGACTTCATGGGATTTACTATGAAGTTGAGTGACTGTGTATTTCTGAGCAAAAGCAGCAGCTAATTTATACACAGCAACGTCCCACAAATAGCCATGAAGTGGTTGACCAATTTTATTTGGGGGACAGTTGGGCAGGAAACCACAAGAAACTCTCTTCACTTTTCGAATAGTGCCAAGGGATCTTTGATATCCAACTGAACAGGCACACTGGTGGACCTCAGTTAAATGTCTCATTCCAAGGACCACACCTCCAACAATGAAACGCACCCCAGCACTGCATTGGAGTGTCATCTTAGACTCTGTGAGTTAAGTCCTGATGTGGGGCTTGAACCCACAACCTTCTGACTCAGAGGGGTGAGTGCCACCAGTGACCCAGGCTGACATACCATGATAATAGATAATGTCTCTATTCTTAGGAACCAAAGGACATTTGCTGTAATTTCCCAATATGTGATTAGTGTCTTCTGTCACTATTAATCCAGCAAAACTATCAGATCTTAAAAAGGAATTACAGAACTTGAGTGAAAATTCTTCATTTTACATATAAAATATTTGGGTGAAAGAAATTAAGTAGTATCAGTGAGGTACAGGAAACCATAAAACAGTGACAACATTTTCAGAATAAATGAAGTATATGCAACCTTGACTTTCCAACCCTCTAAAAAATACAAATATAGAAATGTTATTGGAATTTAATGGGTATGAATACACTGAAATGTCTAACTACATACAATAGATTCCAGTGAACATTAAGAGTCGACATAAAATAATTTCATTCTTTTTAATCTGTTGCCTGTAATGTTTTAGAGATTTGTACAATGTAAATCTACCCATTGCATTGAATCGCTGAGGTATCCCTGTAAAATTTCAACACTTAAGTACAGCATGACCAGAATTCAACAATCTTGAATACTTCTCTTCAGAACAATCTGTGGATTAATTGCAGAAATAATGTAATGTTTTAATGTCCTTACAACATGGTTTGAACTCTACATAGATTATATACAGCATTGATAGCCCATTTGACCTTGTTCATTGTAGGGAAATCCATTTTATGCCACCGTGTTGTTGGACGAAGGATTTATTTCCAACAGTAAACCATTATTTTCCAGATTGGTGCTTATTATGAACATAGGTTCAAATTTAAACGTTAACTTATCTTCATTTTATATGAATATAATATATATATATTTTTGTCTCAATCATTAGTTGGAAATAAAGAATAGACAACAACATTTCATATTATCTGCTTCCACGTTTTGATCCATTACCTTTTTGCCTGAACTGTGTAATGCCGAGAACATTTTAAAATGAAGGTTATTTTAAAAGAATCACATAGCTGGCATAGACACTAGAGCAATCTCAGAAGTTCAAATTATTCTCATGCTTTCCTCTTGCGGTTTATGATGCCGTGGAAATCCTTGACAGATGTGCTGGTTTATAAATTGCTGCTCACCATCTATTATCCAGCATGTCACTAAAAAGACTAGAAAAGCAATGCTACTTCTCTTTAACAAATATTGCCCTGCTTCTTGGTATCATTTCTGTTTGAATCGCACGTTTTAATACCATTTTTGTTTAAATTGTGGCAACCTTGTTTGGCACGATATTCCATAGCATAGTGGTTAGCACGCGCGACTTACTAGTGGGAGGACATGGGTTTGATTCCCAGGTAAAGCAAAACCTTAAACAAGTTTGCTTACTTCACATGCCTTCTTCTGTTTACCTTCTAATAGAAGCCCAGTTGTTAGTCTGTTGGCGGATCGCTTTCCAGGGGAAATAATCCCTTAAAAAAAATGCAGTTACTCAATCACGATTGTTTGTGTGACACTGCAGTATGCATTTGGCTGCTGTGTTATGCCCATAAAATGCTAAGTAAATCCACTTCACAATATATTCTGTGAAGTGTTTTGAGACTTCTCAACA